AACAATTTAAATTTAAATTGTTTAATTTTTTTAATGAACTTTCTTCAGTACACAAAATTATGCTTGGCAATATCGATGGAAATAGAAGGGGAAGACAACAGATAACGTGGATGGATGCAATGTCTTTGGAAAAGCAAAGAGTTATTACAAAGGATAGGTCAGGATGGCAAGCATTTGTCTATGCAGTTATTATGAGTCAAAATCAACCTGGCAGCTCCTAGCTAAACAAATTTTTTTTTTAAAAAAAAGAGAGAAAATACAATGTAGCCTATATGATAAAGTTTGGCACCAGTTTATGCTCATTTCCGAAAGCTTGGAAAGGAAAAAAAAAAACCACCCAAGGATGCTTTTAAAATGGAAAATATCCAGGATCTTAATAAATATTCTACCCACCAAAGGAAAACTGTTTTCAAAAGCCCTGCAAGGCCCAGGAGGTAATTATCTCATAACACACTTCTCCCTCAAGCCTCTTTATTCTTTAGGAGCTATAGCAAGTCCAAACATCCACACATGCCTTCAGTCTTCTGTACCCTCCACCTGGCTAGCATTTGCTGACTGGCCCTCCTCCACCTCCTTTTTGACTTGCCATTTGTGCATTTGATGTCTTTGCTCCAAGGACGCAAAGGGGCTGGATCAGCACAATTGTGCCCTTCCTTACTTGAAAATAGAAGTCTTTGAGGCTTAAAAAAAAGCAGGCAGGCGTTTTTTTCTTGTCTTCAGTCAGACCCTCTAAAAAGGAAGAAGGAAGGGAGGCACCTTGTGCAGAGGTATGTCACCTCACCTGCCTATTGCAAGGCAGATGACTATCTGGGGTGACCTCTTGTCAGGCAACCTTTCCCTCCTTTTAAAAGATTAGCATTTGGAAGGCTCTAAAGCAGTTCCCTGGAGCTATAGAAGGGATTTCTGCAGCATCAGGAATTATGTCCACGGATTTAGTTGGAAAATAAGAGATCTACAGGTAAGGTTCCCCGAAGGAGGACTGAGTAAACAAATTGTGCCAAGTCCTGGTTTGCATATTTACAACTGCTGGATTCACACTATCAAACCTCATTATGGCTCAGCATGATGTGAAACTCCAGCCACAGAGGACTCTGGCTCCAATGGAGAAGGTAGCTAAAAGACATCTGGCAGGTTGCTTAGAATCATAAACTGTGGAAGACCCCGTTCCCATCTTCTGAGGACATAAACCTGATCCAAATCAGCACAGAATCAAGTTTCACAACAAGAAGAGCAAAAAAAGGCACCAACCAAAAGGGAGGGAGGGAGATAGCTCACTAGCCAAGCAGATGAGCTTCAAGTTTCACATTTTTTCCTTCCTGGGTGACATAAAACCTGGGGAAATAATTAACGCTGTCAAACAAAATGAGTTTCCTCACAATATCCAAACACAAACGGGTCAAAGAATAGGATTTTATTATTATTATTATTATTATTATTATTATTAAAGGGAAGTATATAAGGGATGCTGGATCTAC